TCTCCTCCCAATAGTTAGACAGCGTATAACGACACTTAAGCCTGCCGCGGACGAGAGGAACCAGCTGAGCTGCTTGCCACAAGAGGTCGGGAGCTGAGCTGTTTCTTCCTGCGCGTTGTTGAATTTATAGTCATCGTGTCCAAACCACACCCCATTTGTCATACTTCCTCGGGGCCGTGGTAACACTGGTGAGAAAAAAATTACATATTCATAGCTAAATCAAAATTGGCCCTACTGTATTGGTAGCAAATTTCAGCCAATCAAAACAAATCACTCGCTATGACACTTTGTTTGCGAACGTAAACAAAACGAAAGCAGCGTGCCATTACATATTTTGGTACAGAATTGAGCAATATTTTCGTTAAAGAATTGAAGCCGAGAGAAAATCAAACCTTAATTTGGAATATTTACTTGAAAAGAATGTGTTCTCATCTCTTCAAACGGGCGGCGGAAAAGCGGTGTTTTGTTTACATGACTTCATTTCTGTTCTACCAATCTGATTGGTCAGATTAAAATGCCACCAATCTCATTTCCACGCCCCAAAAACGAAGTGTAGTTGGCTTAGTTTAATACGGGTTAATAACACACTTTTAATACGGGTTAATAACACACTGTCAAAACCGTATTCGTGATACGATGAATTTATAGTAAGAGTTCTGCCTTGAAATGCTGATATGCTTGATACTTTGTGACTCACCGTGAGCGGACGTCTAAGCTGCCAGCTAGAAAAAGGAACCAACCAATAGAAACGCATTGACAGTTCACGTGGTAGTGCAATTTTAGAAGATCAACTTGTTGAACATGGCAAGACTACCCATGTTTATCTTTACGCTGTTTATTCTGCGGAATTCCAAAATAAAGAAACAAGACGATTTTCATCAGTCCAATAGCTCTGGAAAGAGCTCTCGTCTACGGTGAGAGACGTACTGAGAATGTTGCTCAGATGACAGCCTTCTCGAGACAGGCGGCTCAGCTAGTTTCTCTCGTCTGTGGCAGGCTTTACCATAATGCGTATAACCTCGGACATCAACTTTCAGTTTTCAAACCGAAGAATAAATAAAATAATTAAAAGAAAATAAAGAATACATTCCGATTATGAAACCACATAGATGTGAGATAAACACACTAGAATTGGAGCCGTAAAAAAATCCAATATTTTAAAGAATATGTTTTGCATTAATGTTATAAATCATTTGAAAGAGGACTTATCTTAGATGAAAATTCAAGTCCGTTTGTTTATTAGAGCCCCAGCAGTTGCAAAATGTCAAACCCATGTAGATAACTGGGGTCAAGATCATTAAAGGTCGAGGTCACACGAAAAAAAACTTTAAAAATGCGAGATTCAAAAATTCTTTTCCAAGCAAGTTTTAGATAAAGTAACTCTAAAATGATATCTCATATCTCGGACTGGTATTTAGCTCTTGGGTGGTTCGAATTTTGTATCTGAAATAGTCTGTATTTATCTTTTCTATATTTCTGATTTACACCAGAAACGGGGTAAACTAATTTCTAGAAACTGGAAATTCTCCAGCCCAACCAACAAGTGATAAAAACAAATTACGCAATTTCATTTCCATCGGTAGTATATCAATATCTTGCCAATTTTAGTCTAATCTTTGATTAACGATTGAGTTGAAATTTTCATAATCTTTATTTCAAATGTTTTTTTGAATAGTAGCCATGTTTACGACACAGCTGGAAAGATGTCCGTTATTACTTAAC